CTGGAGGAGGGTGAGTGGGAGGAGGGAGGAAGCTGGAGGAGGGTGAGGAGGAGGGAGGAAGCTGGAGGAGAGTGAGGAGGAAGAGAGAGGAAGCTGGAAGGGGTGAAGAGGAGGGAGGAAACTGGAAGAGGGTGAAGAGGAGGGAAGAAGCTGGAAGAGGGTGAAGAGGGAAGAAGCTGGAGGAGGGTGAGGAGGAGGGAGGAAACTGGAGGAGGGTGAGGAGGAAGGAGGAAGCTGGAGGAGGGTGAGTGGGAGGGGAATAGGTTGGAGAAGGGATGATGCTGGAAAAGGGTAAGGATGGATGATGTTGATGGAGAGAGTAAGGCTGGAGGAGGGTAGGGCTAGAGGAGGTGAATGGGAGGAGGGTCGAGCCTAGGTGGGGGTACATGGGAGGAGAGGTGGTTTGGAGGAGGGCAGGAAGGCTGTGGGTGAGATGAAACTGCATGGAATCTTTCTCCCATGCTTCCCCTCTTGGAAGGATTTGGGTCAGTCACTAAAAATCCTTGGGTATACCAGCATTAAAACCTTGTGGAGGTGGCGAAAACGAGGATTAGGGTTAGGATTGGGGTCATGGCTCCTAATCCAGTACTAGCAGAACTCTCCCACCAGAGCACACTGCACCAGCCTTCCCTGGAGCAGTGGGGACTTGACCAGTCCCGCTGTCTTGCTAGCTTCCCGCTCCCACAGGGCACTGTTGGCCCTGGGGACTCCTGGAACTGAGGGTCAATGTCTCTCAAGGGCGCTGCAGAAAAGAATTCAGGAAGTGGGTAGGATATGGACACGTGAGACACCACCCACATTCACACAGCCTCGGCTCTCCATTTCTCTGGAGGCTGTGCTCCCCTCCCCAGGGTCAGGAACCCACAGTCTGCTGCAGGCAAGGTACAGTCCAAGGCAGGAAATCTCGGGGTGTCCCTATAGCCTCTGGAAATTAGCAGCTAGAAATAGGGTCATACTCACCAGGCAGGCAGAAGGCAGCCTGGAGAGCAGACTACCCTCAGATTCAGAACTTGACACACTGCAGAACTGGCCTCCTGGCCACCCCAAGCCAGTCACCTGTGAGGCCCAGGCTGTGCGTCTGCCCTTTGCCTAGCTGCCCTCACAGCTAGCCAATGCACACAGCACCAGCACACAGGAGACCCGGGATGGCTGAGCAGGACACACGCAAACTAGCAGCCGAGGATAGCATGCTGGTACACAGCTCTCACACACAGCAGGACACGTGAGAGCATTTGCTGTGGTCCCTACACACCCCTTCCTCAAACATGGCAACCTCCTTCCCTGCTGCTGCTCAGAACCCAGTACTTAAAAAGAGAAGTACCATCCAGAGGAGCAGGCAAGGAGAGACTCCAAGGCTGAGACTCCAGGATAGACAAAGAGACTGGGGCCTCTGGAACCTGAGGTGGAGACATCCTGGTGGACCCCACTGCCATTGCTCATCCCTTGTGATACAATTGGTGTCTGTCTGATGGGAACAAGGGGTGGTCTCACACCGGTGCTCACCCCAGCCTCAGTTTGAGGCTCCCCCATACACGTGGCTCTGTGTCCCCATCAAGTCCTCACTCCTGTCATGCCTCATGCTGGCCCCGAGGCCTGGGTCCAGGAAATGCCAGTCCTCCTGGGTGACTGCCCAGGGTGCTGGATCAAGGTTAGAAGGCCCGGACGGTCTGAAAACTAGTGGGCAACAAGCTGCTTTCCGAGGAAACATTCCTGGTAGTGCGGAAGACAGTGAAGTGTTAAGTAGCTGTCTGCCTTGGGAATCTGAGTTCCCTATGCTTTAGCTGGTGACCCCATCAAGGAGCTATAAACCAGAAGACTGAGGACTACCGAGAAGAGGTGAGCAGACAAGTGGGGTCAGGCCTGGACCCATCATTCCCCGGAGCTCTGACCAAGCCAGGGAGCCCAAGGCTCTAGGCAGTGGTGGGCCCACGACCCTGGGATCTAGGTTTTCTCTCTCCTCCAAGGCTCAAGAAGCCCCAGCTTGGTTCTCTTAAGCCAACGTGCTCAGTCCAGCAGACTCCCACACTTGTTCAGAAAGATCTTCATCCGAGCACAAAGAGGAGGCCTAGCCCCGAGGGGTTTCCTGGCCTCAAGTCTGTGTGGGGCATCCTGCAGCTCTGGGCTGCAAAGTAGGGGCAGCACTGGTAGGACAGCACAGGTGACCGTGTGAATTCATGAGCGCGGCCTGGCATCTGCCTAGCTGCAGATGGCGGGGGCCGCCAGCCCAGCTCTGTTCCCCGAGTCTTCAGTGTCCAGTTGATGCTGATGCCAAGCACAGAGACCACCAGTTAGTGTGATGCTGAATTTGGGGTGGCTCCTCCTGATTCTGGCCCACAGTCCCCCAACACACTTCTGCAGCATCTTGGAACCCTCCTAGGCTCCCCATCATATCTCTACATTCCCAAACCCCCTAGACTGAGAGTGTTCTGTGATGGGGCCTACGCTCCCCAGAATCAAGTAGAGCATGCCACACATGGGACCCGCTCCTTCCTGCTCTCAACTGTCCCTGCACACTCAAAACAGAAAATTACATTTCATTGTGGCCATGAGACCTAAGAAATCTTGGCCAGACTAGAAACTCGCCTTTCCATGGCGCAGAACCACAGGGCTGTCAGGCACAAACCAGGCAGTGCGAGAACAAGGGTGTTCAGTTCCCAACGGCCTCCCGAGACTGACTACACTCAACCTCACATCAAGACTCACATCCTCAGAAACAGTGAGACAGGAAGCAAGGATGTGAGCTGAGGGGACAAGAAAGTGGGCACAGCCTTCTCTGACCCAAATCGGCCATCAGGTAGCTTGTCCAAAATACAGAGGCAATGTTGGGCATTGTTGCTCAGGTCCGTAATCCCGGTACTCTACTCAGGAAACAGACCGGGGGAGGGGTTACCAGAAACTCAAGGCCAGCCTGGGTACACAGTAAGTTTTGGGGCCAGTCTGAGATTAAAAAAAAATAAAAACAGCGCCAGAGTGGGCTAGAGAGATGGCTTAGTGGTTAAGAGCACTGGCTGTTCTTCCAGAGGTCCTGAGTTCGATTCCCAGTCAACCACACGGCGGCTCACAACTGTAATTACAGTTGCAGGAGATCCTCACACAGACACCCTCCACAGACACACATGAAGGCAGAACACCAATATAATAAAATAATTAAAAAAAAAA